ACTCACTATTACTTCACATTCCAAGGTGGTTGTTTTTGTATTATTATTTTGACTTGCTAATTTTATAACAATTTCTTTTGAAGTTCTTAATACTTCTTTCAATTTCTTCCTTTCTTAGGAACTGATTTTTAATAATTGTGATAATGTAATTTCTAATTTTTGTTCTTGCAATTTTTTTATTAAATTAAATTCAGATCCTTTTAATAATTCTGATTGTTTCCTTTCTTTAAATAGCTTTTCAGGAGATTTTATTATTTTCTTTTTATTTGGTATCCATTCCATTGATTTTGGTTCAAAGTTTTTGTTCTCTTTCTTCTTCTTTTTTGGATTAGTTCTATAATAATAAATTAATTCTGGTTCTGCAGGTTCTTTTCTCTTTAAATTTCCAAAACTATCAAACAGTGTCATAATTTCTTCTGTTTCCTTATCAGTATTATATTCATCCACTTTTTTAATACTTATAAAATTGATAAAGGTATGATTCTGGATATTATTATTTTGATTTTGATTCCTGTTATTGTATTTATTTCTGTTATTGTATTGATTATTATTACTTCTTCCATTTTCATTTTGATTTGTTCTATTTTCTTGTTAATTATTATTATTCATATTATTGTTTTGATAATTATTTCTATTAAAATTATTATTATTTCTATTGTTGTATCCATAATTATCATTGTAATTTCTCCTTAAGTTTCAGCAGTCCTTTTTAAAGTAATTCTTCTTCTCACAATTGTAGCATTCGATACCATTATTTTGAGATCTTTCAATCTTTGTTATTTTAATTTTCAATTCTTCAAATTATTTTACTAATTGTTCTATAGGATCTTCTTTTGGTTCTTTTTTCTTTTTAGTAATTTTCTTTACAGGTATTTCTTCATCACTAGAAGATTCTTCTTCAAAAACTACTTTCTTCTTCTTCTTATTAATTCTTCTTTTATATTTTACTTCATCTCTTGGTTCTATTTCTTCTTTCAAATCTTCAGCTGCTTCATATTTTTGAATTAAATTAACTATTCCTTTTACACTATTAAGTTTATGTAAGCTTACTATTGGAAGTAATCCTTTTCTTAATTCTCTGGTAAAATAAAACATCTTTTGTTCTTCTCCTATTTCTTCTAATTTTTTTACAATCTTTTTAAATCTTACATGATATCTTTCGACTACTTTTCCAAGTTTTTGTTTAATTTTTCTAATTAATTTCTCTATTTATTTTTCTATCTTTGATTATAGAATATTTTTCTGAAGGAGGTTTTTAATTCTTCCAGAGTAGGATATTGGTTGTTCTTTTCTCCTCTTATATATGTTTCTTGATACCATTCTTCAGCTCCTTCTTCTAAAAATCCATACAGTTTTTCTCTTGTTCTATTATTATCCCATTGATTAATAATTGCTACTTTATCAAATTCTTTCAACCATTCTTCAGGATCTTGAGTTTTATCTCCAGTAAATCTTTGAAGTTTAAATAATAAAAGATCCATTTTTGTAGTATTATTTTCTAGTTCTTCTTGTTTTCTATTTCCTAGTTTTTCTTGTTTTCTATCTTCTTCTCCTCCACTTGAATTGTTATCTTCAAAGTCAAATATATTATATTATTTCTGATTATTTTCTTTTACTAGATCATCCAAATTTTATAATTCTATTTCATCTTCTTTTTCTGTTATTATTTTTAACTGCTGTTTGAAACTATTACTTCTTGATCTTATTACTTTCCTTAATCCTTCAGTTATTTCTTCTTGAATACTTATTATTTCTTTTTTTAATTCTTCAAATTCTTTTTCACTTATTTCTAAACTTTGATATGATTCTACAGGGAAGTTTTCTCTAGTTGTTTCGTAACTTGAATTAACAGAAAAAGATATTGGTAAAGTGATTTGAAAACTTTCTCTTTTCTGTATATTCCAATTAATATTTTTTAATTCCTGATTGATATTTAGATGTGATATTTCTTTTCTGTATAATTGGTATTTCTTTCTGTATGCCAGTTTTTATTATTTTTATTTTTGTTTTTAACTTTTTTAAAAAATACTTTGTCATTTTGCTATCCCTTTTATAAGTTTTTCTCAGTTGATCTTTTATGATCCTTTAAAATTTTCTTATTTGTTACATTCTTATGAAGGTAGCTAATCTTCTGATGTGAACTAATTTTAGAATATCCTTAGGTTGAGTACACTGTGTCACATACTATTAGGTATTAATAGTAGCAGTTCACCTTCCCAATAGCCATGTACTATAACTTTTCAGAATATTGACAGCATTCTTCCTTAATTATTTTCAGGTACAAGGTGATCAAGCTCAATTTATCTATACTAATAACTACTTCGTTAGAAGTTTTGTACTTGATTCCTAATTAGAGGTATAAGTACTTGAAGTCCAATCAGAAATTTTGCACTTAGCGGCTTCTTAATAATTTCTACATTTAATTTAATGTTTCTTGATAGTGGTAACAGAGTGAATTCTGAAAACTTGTCAGTTTCAACAATTTCAATATTTATTGTCAATCTCTTTTTCCATTTCAATTTGACAGAGTTTTTCTTGTGTTCACAACATTTATTCTAGTATTATTATCTCAATCAGTAATATATTTTCTATAGTTTCATTTATTCTTTTCAATAGTTTTGTCAACTTATCTTCTACATTTGTTCTCCTCATAATAATTAAGATTTCTTTCTACTAAAAGGTATTAAATTGTCACTGGTGGTTTCTGGTTTCCTCAAGAACAACCTAATAGAGTAACTTAATAGTTTTTTTAAGAAGTTTATAGTCCTTTCCCAAAGGTAAGACTGTTGTTTCATCATTTTAGAAGGTATTACTGATTCAATTGTTTTAGAAAGGGAATCAGACCTTTCATCAAATTTATTTTAATATCTTTTCAAGTTTATCATCATCTTTAATATTAATATTTATCCATTAATCATCTTTTAATTTTATCAACTTTAAATATTATATCCAATTATCCAGGTTAATTGTTATTACAATTTTAGGATTTATTATAATAGTTTATAATTAATTTTATCAACTCAAGAATAATAATATTATACAATTATACAACCAAGTATTTAATCCCATAATATCTATTATTCCTTTGTTAACTATATGTTTATATCATTTAATATATATTTTATTTAATATTTTCAATATTTATTATTTTATTAATTCGACTGCAAGGTAATTTTTACAAGTATTTATCTTGAAGTTACAAATTATAAAATTAAATTTATCAATTTCAAATAAGTTACAAATTATCAAAATTTAAAATTATAAGATTATAAACTAAAAAGGGATAAGATAATTTCAGTCCCTTTTTATATCTAAATCTAGTGATCTTCATTACTGTGCCATTACTGTACCTACTGTGCCTTACTGTACACTATTATTTTTGATTACCATTTTTTTTATATTATTTACTAAATATTTTTGCTACTAATTAATACTATGTGTTAATAAATATTATTAAATAATGTTAAGTGATGATAATTAATATTATGAATTGATAGTTATGGTTGTGTAACTAAATATCATGTGAACACATGATCTTGTACTACTATTTCGTAACTAATTAATAATATTTACTAAAAGAAATTATTAAATTGTTACTATTTGTTATATGAACTAATATTCATTAATTAAATTTTAAATATTATTTTAAGGATTATTATTAATTATTGCAGGTGTTTTTAATATTATATTATCATGATATTTTCATTCTGTAACAATATACGTAAAGGTAGTATAATAATAATACTTACCTTCTCTTCTCTCCTAAGTTTATGATGAACTTATATAAAAGTAATATAATTCTTTAATAATAATATACTTACCTTCTCTCCTTAGAATTAGATTTGTAGGTTTTCTTTTTATTTTATTTTTTATAGTATACTTACCTTCTTTCCTATTCCCAGATTTATAACAAGCATATCTTTTCTTTTGTATTAATATTATTTGTACTTTTGTTTATTAATTCATATATTTGTACTTCCATCTATTAATTTATAGATGTTAATTGATAATTGATTTTTTTTTTTAATTATTTTTTTAAAATAAGTGATATTAATGAAACTGAAGAAATAATTAGTAACAGTCAATATAATCCTATTGAACCTGATATTGGTGATGATAATACTGGTCCTATGTCAATATCAATTAGTAAAGAAAACTTCAATTTATTTACAAATACTATAAATAATAATAGTACAAATAATAATAATAATAATAATAAAAGAAAATCAAGATGAACTTATATAAAAAATAGTTGGATATGGTATTATTTCAAAACTTCAGAAGATAATATATTCAATATATGTAATGTTACAATAGATAAGACAACTGATGATAATATAAATTATGGAAGTCATTTTGTGAATGATAGTTCAACTAGGGATGGGAGGCGCAATACGAATTGAGTCAGGAATTTAGCCAGATTTAATTTAGTCAATTGAGTCCAGGAATTAGCCTTGGCGCAATTGGACGCAATGGCTAAATTCTGATGCAAAAGCTAAATACTGGTGTAATTCTAATTAACTGGTGCAAAGGCTAAATGCTAGTGCAATTTTAATTGATTGGTGTAAAGATTAAATGTTAATGTAATTTTAATTGGCTGATATAAAGATTAAATTTTAGTGTAATTTTGATTTGTTAGTATAAAGGTTAAATGTTAATGTAATTTTGATTAATAATATAATTGTAAAATTTATTGAATAATTGTTTTTATTTATATATAATTTTAAATTGATTTTTATTATAAGGAATGATTTTTATTATTATACAGTGGATGTCAGTTGAAACCATCAACTTTTAATACCTTTCTAAAAAAGGTTAAAACTTGTGCTACAAGTGTATTACAAAAAAATCCTTCAGTAAAATTGTTAACCAAATGTCAATTTACATTTTTACCGAGGGGATTATCATTTTTTTGCCCCTAGCACAAATTGAAATAGATCAAAGTCCAATATATTTATATATGATTTATAAAAATTGGCCATGATTTTTTTACTAAAATTATGCCTCGTGTCAGAAAAAAAGTGAAATCATCTCGTAAGAATATTAAAATAGCAAATAGAGCACGTCTTTTTCAATCAAAAACTGTTTCCACTTCTGAAATAATTAATTTAAATACTTTCTTAGAGGAAGAACCTGAATCTGATCTTGACAATGAAATTTTTAGTTTTGGTGCATCAGATTTAAATGACGAAAATATTGCACTTGAACTTTTTAACAAACTTTTTATTAATGAAAATCAGTTAATTCAAAAAAAGAGAGTTTATTATACTGGACTTTCCTCACGTACAAATAGAAGAAAAAATCAAAAACTTCGTGAAGCAGCTGTTGGAACAGCACAAATTTCTAAATTTTTTATTTTATGTAATCAACAAGAAACAAATTCTTCTTTATTAATTCAAAATGAACAATCTAACAAAAATAATGAAGAAATCTTGAATACATCAATACAAAATGATAATAATGAAGATAAAATTGAGAATGCAATTAAATTTATTGAAAATATTCTTTTAGAGAATATTTCCAATAGTCAAAAAGTACGTTATTACTTAGTAATTTCTTATTTTCGTTTATTATTATCAGGAGAAAAAAAAATAAATGTAAGTTTAGCGGTTGCCAGAATTCATAAAGGAGATCAATATCATGCACGTTGTATTCGGAAATGGGCAAAAATATGTTTAGAAGGTAATTAGTTTATTAATAATCTTAAATTTAAATTAATTAAAAAATTTATTGTAAGTTTAAAATTAATTTAATAATTTATTTAAATAGGTAAACATATTCCAATTAATAAAGGAAAATTTTCATCACGAAGCTTACTTAATGATGAGCTTATCTCATTCCGTATTTCTTCTTATCTCTGGACCAATAAATTTCAAATTAATCCTTTAATGGTAAAACAATATTTTGAAGAAAAAATACTTCCTGAATTAAATATTGAAAAACAGCAAACAATTTCAATCAGTACAGCATATAGATGGATGCATAAAATAGATTTTTGACACACTTGTTATCGAAAAGGAACTTATATTGATGGCCATAATCGTCAAGATGTGATAGTTTATCGTGAAAAGTTTTTGGAAATGGTTCAATATTATGAACAATTTATGTCTCAATGGTTAGATAAAGAATACAAAATAAGAACATATCCTCAATTAAATCCTGGAGAAAAAAAATATGTTTGGATCACACATGATGAATCTACATTCTATTCTTATGATAGACCTCGTACAGTATGGGGATCAGAAGGAGAATATTAATTACGAAAAAAAGGTCAAGGACAAGGTATCCATGTTTCAGATTTTTTAACGGAACACGAAATAGCAAGAGTTACCATGATATTGGGTGCAAATTGTGATGGATACTGGAATGGAGAAAAATTAGTTGCACAATTACGTTGCGCAATTAATATTTTTGAATGAACACATCCAAATTGTATTGAAATATGGGTATTTGATAATGTTACTTTACATACTGCCTTTACAGCTGATGTTTTGGTAGCAAGTAAAATGAATAAGGGACCAGGAGGTATACAACCAATTATGCGTGATATATTTTGAAATGGACAAAGACAATCAATGATAATAGAAAATGATTTTTTTATTATTAACTCAAAAACAAGACAACAAGTTAATTTACGTGGAAAACCTAAAGGTATAGAATGGATTTTGAAAGAAAGAAATTTATGAAAAAATAATATGGTATTAGATTGTCAAGCTTGTTTAAAAAAAGAACCGGATCCCAATATTATTGATTGTTGTGCTCGTCGGTTACTTGCTAATCAACAAGATTTTCTTGTACAAAAAGGACTAATTCAGCAAGAAATTGAATCTCGAAACCATAAGGTAATTTTTAATTATTTATTAAATTTTATTTTATTTTTTTAATTAAAAAATTTAATATAATTTAGGTTATTTTCTATCCAAAGTTTCATCTGGAATTTAATTATATCGAATTATACTGGAGTGCAGCTAAAAGATACATCCAAAATAATTGTGAATATATATTACAGTCACTAAAAAAAAATTTACCTTTAGCATTTGAATCTGTTTCTATTGAAACAATCTGTTCTTATACATGATTATCTTGACGTTGGATGGATGCATACAGACATCAATTAATAGGAAAAGCAGCAGAATATACTGTAAAAAATAATAAATCACATAGAAGAATTAATGAAGATGTAATGAATCGAGTTAACGTTTTATTAAATTGAATAAAATAATTTTCGGCATTTTTTTTTTCTAAGATCTCTGAATATGATTAGCTGTTTTTGCATTTACGTCATTCTTTTTATTACCTGTAAAATTGGTTACCATCTTAGGGGGTTGATGATTTCGACTAACATCCACTATATTTTTGTAATAAGAAAAGGTGTTTTATTTTGAGAAGGAATTGAGAGAGAGAAAGAGAGAATGAGAATTTTAAAAATTATAGTGAAATTTTAATAGTTATGTTGATTTAAAATTTAGTTGACACAATTAAATTAAACTTAAATTTAGCTGGCGCAATTAAATTGAACTGAAATTTAGCTGACGCAATTAATTGAGCCAGAATTTAGTCAGAACGAAATCATTTAGCCAGGATGCAATTAATTGAGCCAGCTTGATATTAATTGAGCTGACCATCTCTAGGTTCAACTGACAATATGGAAAATCATCTTCGTTGTAAACATGATTTATCAAAAGAAAAAAAACAAAAGGAAAAGTAAAAATATTATATTATTATTATAATTATTAAATTAAATGATTAAACTAATCTAAGATATTATAATTTTAAGTTCAAGGTGATTTTACTCAACAAACTTTATATCAAGTAATAAAAGTAAATATTAAATCTCATAAAGAATCAAAAAACAATAAAATTTGATAAGCTATTATTAAATAGATAGTTATAAATAATTTATTACTTAATTTTTTTTAAGAACAGGGATACAAGAAAATGATGTCAACTGTGAATTCAACTTTTCAAATTTCATCAAATAAAAGAATGAAAAGATAATTACTGAAGGATACCAGGATGCAGTACAAGAATTAAAAAAATTAATTACCAATACTTGTGAAATAACTTCTTTAACAACTGATCTTTAGATAGCAAAAAGTAAACATGAATATATTGATATTATACTTGCACGCAAAATTATTTTGAGGCCCCGAAATTACAATTTTGGAGAAAAAAGTCGAAATAGTTTTTCATAGAAGATGAAATTATTTTACTTAAAACCCGAAATTTTTTGATCACCCAGATTTATTCTTTGATTAAAGATACATATAACTAGGT